ACCCTGGAAAAGCTCATTCAATCGATGCCGCGGCGTTGCCTAGCTGTTCTTGAGGTTAAAGGAGGTAAAACGGAATACTAATACAACCATTTTACCGCAAAGCAATGAGTTTTTTTCGCAAATCTTTGAGTGTTTCTATTCATGTGGCGCGCTCCGAAATTGTGCCATTGCATAAATCAGTGTTTTTGTATCTAGTGCAGTCATTTTGAAACCAAAATCGATGGTCACTGCCTCCCATACGCATGCAGAACACGTTTGAGTACCATAGGTCTCCGCAGTTACGTTATCTCAGGAAATATCAACCGAAATGTACGTGTTTCTATCCATGTGGCGCGCACTGTACTACGAAGTTCTGGTTCAGTAGACCTCCTGACAATAGATATACTATATACCAAGTCATCAGCAATATTATTAAAATTATCATATGTATTCCAAGTAATGCCAATCTCTGGTTGGTCAAGCGCATTGTGCTTAGAATAAGTGGTTCACGTCACACAACAACTAGCCAATAGGTGATTGAATCAATTCGTTTGGTGGAGATCTCTCGTGACCTTATGGTAGTTCCCACGAAACACTAACTCATTTCCAAAAGCACAGGTTACATCTCGAAAACACCCACATTTTGCCTTCCATGTCCCGCCGCTCCAGCTTGCAAGCATCCCAGCCGACTCCCTCGTCGACCCCACTTACAACGAGGGTCATTAGGCTAGGTGTAGCCTTGTTGGAAAACCTCGACCAACAGCGCTACGCTAAACGAGCCCGCTGCTCTACCGTTCTTGCTGACGAGCCCGACAACTTGGACTCGAACTCACCCATCTACGACTCCATTCTTGCTTCCCAGGGAGCTGAAGGGATTGTGATAACGACAAACTTCTCACCGTCTGAGTTCAACCTCATTTGGACAGAGGTGCGCCAGTACATCTTCCGCCAGTGGAATGTCGGCTCTGGACGAAAGTCGGCGGTATCTGCTCGCGACCTGCTCTTGATGCTGTTCACGTCGTTAAAGGACTGCGGTACTTGGGACGTCGTTGCGGCGGTATTGAAGCAAAAGCCGACGACCTTCGAGAAGCGCGTCATGTCCTTCCTGAGCGTTCTCCACTCATACCTCATGTGAACGTTCGTCACGGCTGTCGAGCAGAAGTCGCCAATGCAGGTGCTTGCGGAGTCGGGGCATCGGTTCAAAAACTCTCCCGCTGCTCGGTACGCCACGGACGTCACGTTCCAGCAAACGAATGTACCGGCCGGCGCGTATGCAGGAAGAAGCTATACTACAGCGCCAAACACTCCCTGTATGGATACAAGGTCTAAGTATCCGTGGTACTGAATGGCTTCGCGATCAACTGCAAGAAGTTCTACAAGGGCAGCGTGTCGGACAAGACCATCTTCCACGAGAACATCAACTCTCACCTGGCCAGTCTGGCAAAGCGCACCGGTGAGACGACGCTCGAAGACTCGGAGCCTGGCATGGAGCAATGGGCCGTTCTAGCTGACAAAGGCTACCAAGGTATTCAGCACAATGTCCGGGCGGTGCTGCCATTGAAGAAGCCGATAGGTGGCATACTCACCTTTGCCGAGCAAGCGAAGAATGACCGTATTGCCAGCGATCGCGTCATCGTTGAGAACTACTTTGGTCGGTTGAAAACACTCTGGGCCACATGTAGCGATACGTACCGTTGGAGCCGAAAGAGCTACGACATTGTGTTCCAAGCGTGTTTGGCCCTGACCAACGTCCAAGTCCGTCTCCATCCCCTGCGTGCAGAAGATGGTGATTCCAATGCCCAGTACATCAATCGACTCAACGCAATCGGCGCAAAGATCATCAAGACGAAGAGAGCCGCTGGGAAGGCGTATAGGTCAAAGAGAAAGGTGAGGTTGAGTATGGTTTTAGCTTCGGAGAATACTTTTACTCGTGATTTGCCTGGAAGCGACGCCGAACTTGGCTTTGACAATGAAGATGGAAACAGCAGTTTTATCATGTAATTCGTAATTTGGACCTTTAGGACAATGTACTTGGTTTAGGAATTTTATAACAAATAGTGCTGGATAAATAACGGAAGATGGCGGGTATTTGCGTGGCATAGATGTTATAAAAAGAACACAATTGCCTTAACAAGTACATGAATTGGGTGTATTCAGGATTATTTGAGGTCAAATACCCTTCAAGGACATCAATTGTATTTCGGAAAAAGGTTGATGTCCACGTAAAAGTCTACGTTTTCGGGCAAAGTAGAATTGTTTTAGCAGTATGTGGAGAACCTTATCAGCTCATTAGCAGACTGTCATACATCTCACCTATGAGTAAGAGGTCTACTACTCTGGTCCTAAATGTTTGCACACCTGACTTTGGAAACGCATACATTTGAGCCAAATTTAATGAATCATATTTTATTATTGCCAGGTACTTATGTGTGAGAATTCAACTGGGCATCCATGGAAGCTTCCTCCGCAAGACGATTATTCAAGTGGATCAATGCGCTCTCGTACGACGTTGGATCACACTCAACATTATAGCCGGACAGGCTCTCAATTGTTGCGTCCTTGTTCATATGAGGTAGTTTATATGCATTGCTCCCATGAACACCCATAGACAATTCCATTACCTTTTGCAAAGTAATAAATGTCTTAGAGAGCGTCGCGGAGGGTAACGCATGAAACGCCGATTCCATAGCACCAATAAGCTCTTCGATCGTTCGAGTGCACTTCTGGTACTGCAGACTTTATCCTAAATCTAACACGTCGAAGTCTGGACTATTTGGTGGCTGGTTCGCGATCGAAATACCTTGAATGCCCATTGACAGCATCAGCGCAGTGGTGACACAGCGGTGGGGACTCGCATTGTCCTGCTGGATATAAATCTCACTGCTCTGAGATGTCCGAGGGAACTTCGCCTTGATGGCTGGGGTGGCCTTGTCCAAAATGGCAGCTTGGTAGACGCCGGAGTCAACTGTCTGTGGTGTGATGACAGGGGCGCCGCGAGCTCGGTTCTTGCTTGTACGCTTGGCCAAGGTGTGCTCCACAAATGGCCAGATTCCAATCTTGCCGTCGAACTCCTTCTTCGCGTGGTGGTCGTAACGTGGTCGGGCGACGGCGGCAAGAAACATCACTTTCGTGATGAACCTCTTGGACTTCACGGAGCGCAGGGCGAGCTCCTCGTCGTCGTACACGTAAAAGCGTCGGTTCACTTTGGTCAAAAAGAACCACTTTTCATCTACGTGTACATAGTCATGCATGTTTTCAAACACACGACCACCACCAGGCATCACCCGGAGGAACCGGAGGCAGTGCTCCACACGTGCGACCATGTTGACCTCCGTCAGCAGCGGTTTGACATAGCTTGACCGCGCCTTTAAGCGGGCCTCCTCTTTCATATGCCGGACTATGGTCGACTTGGGCAGGTGGCTGTTCGCTGCCAAGGAACGCAACGTTTGGCGATCGTGATGGGGAACAGACTTTACAGCTGTCTCAATTTCATGTGCAGTGCGCAATTTATTTCGACCAGAGTTCCCTAAAATAGTTTACCATGAAAATTTGTAACTTCACAACTTAATAAAAATATTGTATTTGACAGGCTACCGTCTGCCGTGGTGGCGTGGGAGGACTCGGTGGGGCAACCAGAGGCAGTGGTGTCATAGTAGCAAGGTAGTAGTGCGTTAGGACTTGTGCACAGCAACAAATATTGTGTTTTGAATGTGTGGCGTAAGTTTATGCAATTTCTGAATTTGGTGTGCGTCGCGTTCGGCGCCATAATTTTTGATGTGGAGCGAATTGAAAGGAGCACAAAGTACCCAATCAAAGCTGAGATCTTGCGCTTTCCAAACAGCCAATCAGATGCGAAAATGAACAAAGTTTTGAATAATTCCGCCAATCAATGTGAGTGGTGTGCAAACATTATGGACCAGAGTGGTAGTGCTCAGCAAAAAACGCAGTCAGTGCTACTGTCAAGGTCATTTCATAAATGTATGGAAAGTGGTATTGGGCTGAAGTGTAATAATATTAAATTGGTGATGGCTGAAATGCAATTTTATTTTATTGCAAAGTCCAACTCTGACTGCGTTTTGTAGTATTTTTCCGAGGCCTCTCGAGGTGTACAGTACCACTATCCTGGTTTGCAGCCGTCTGGCTTGTCTGTTGATGCTGCTCCTGTCGTAGAGGTTCCAGGCTACCACCCTGTTTTTGAATGTAAACCTGACAACCAATGCACTGCCAACGAGTTTGATTTATACCCCCGGTCAAGGGATTTGCACGGCTGGAGCCAAAACAATTTGGACTTCCACACGATGGCCACAAGAGTACTTGGAAACGGCACGTGGCGGAAATCAGTGCGAAGGAGATGCACATCGTCCGGGTGTTTGCCGTCGAGCCATCTCAGAGCCACGACGATTTCAAGGGTGCATTGATCACTGCTGGCGTCAACATCGTGGTGGACTTGTTCTCTAGTTGCCAAGATTATGCGATCGCCACTAGTACTGTATCGCGTACCCGTCTTGCTACCCCCCACATACTACAGTAGTATCAATCAATTCAGAATTGCGTGGGAACTCGCGCATGGTGGCACTCTTAAATATATAGAGGTTTGTATCGCTGGTGAATCAGATGGAATCTATTGTAAATAAAAATCTTTGGTTCAACATTTTCTCATTCTCGTCTGATTGGTTGTATTTTAGCCAAATAGGTCGCTTTTTAGCGAATACAATTGCAATGACAGGTACCATCATTTTGCAGTTACAAAATCCGAGGATACCTCCGCGATTTAATTCGTCATACACTGGGTAGGCTAGCGAAATGCTGGATGACTATTGCAAGTAGCACTTTGAGTGTGGGGGGTGAAGGTTGGCATAGGGCCTCATGGGTAGTGCGATCTTTTTGCATATTTAAACTTTATCACAAATATATCACACCAACCTCCAAGTATTTACATTTATTACATTAAATCTCAAAATTTTGAAGTGCTGTTTCAAAAGATTTCCAAACGGTGTCCTCCTTCATATCCTCCCATACCTTGATGATGCGCTTGATCATAGCGAGGCGCTTTGCTGCGGCAGTGACATCCTTGATCCATTCGCTGCGGCACGTTTGTTTGAATGGCCCCGTGACACCCACTTCCAGGGGTTGAAGAACACTCGTCGTGTTCGCCGGCAGTGGCTATAGGTATGCACTGCAAAACAACTCGTCTTCAAGGATCTTGTAGGATTTCTTCGACATATGGCAGGTAAAGTTGTCCGCAAGCACGACAGAGGGGCAGTCCATTTCGGGATGCAATACTTCACGAAGGTAGAGCAACCACACGCTGGTCCATGTAGTCCGCCTTTTACACTGCATACACCGGGCCAGGTGGATACGTTGGGAACTCGTTGACGTTAACCTCGCCCCCTGAGTTCCTTTGACAATGATCAACAGCGGCATCTTCGTACCTACAGATAGCATTGTAATCATAGTTAGCGTTTGTAATCAATACCATGAGCCCGAATTGATAATGCCACAGTGATCTTGTCAGAGTGCTTCTGTGTCTCCTGAACGCGTGACGAACCACCAATCTTCGCCAACGTACGTCCTTGTGGCATATCGTAGTACACGGGTGTTTCGTCAACATTGATCCACGCTCGCTTGGGGGTGGACGAACTTGGCATATAATTTGGCTGAATTTTTTTCTTAAACAGCAAGAAGTTCTCCTTAGGGTATCTTCGCATGGCACGGCACTCGGTGACTGAGGCCGTGGCAATTTGCGAACCGGAGGCACCACTGGACCAGACTCTTGTACGCGCGGTCGTTGTTTGACTTGTCGGCCATGTACGCTGACAGCCATTGAGGCTGGTAGAACTTCACCCACGTGACCAGGTGGGCCGTGATGAGAAAGTGCTCGCCATCTCGGACCAACTCCATAAAGTCCACCAAATCGCTCGAAAAGGTTTGGGACTCGCCTTCGCCCTTTGCCTTGCAATGTCGCTCGGCCGCCATGGTGCGTGGTACTTAAGTATGTCACCGATGCCGCCTTCATCCACGAAACGTGGTCTCAGGGATGTTGTATGACCTTGCGAAGTGTCGGTCACTTGCACATGGCCCCAGGAGTGCATGTATGTGCAGGAATACACGGATTTGGCGGACCGTGTACCTGCGCTGATGACATTGATCCACAGGTCGGGGTGGTGCCATTGTGAAAATGTTGACTGACAAGTTTGAGTTTTGAATCAGCCAGTAGTATTTGAGTATTTCATCTTTGAACACGCCAATCATGGCGTTTAAAGCAATTCCCCCTGATTGGCTAGAATTTGGTTAAAATTTGGTCGAGTCAGTTCAACATATCATTATAAAAATATTTGATATGCAACTCTGCCCGAGTTCCCACGCAGCTCTCTGTAGTACTGTATCGTGTGCCCGCCTTGCTACCTTCCACATACTAGTATCAATCAATACCCGCGGCAATTACATTGTCGCGGCATTCTTCGTGTACAGCAACGTGCTGGTGAGAACTGCCGAGGGATATGATTTCGTCGTTGAATCTGACATCCAAAACACGCATTCAGAGCAAAAAACGATGATTCGTTGTTTTGGACTCCCCATCATTGGTTCAAATCAGCATTCGATGAGAATTGCAACATGGATATGTGAACCCTGTGCTGTGAAGAATATGCTGGCGCAATATCGTCATCCAAACGTCTGTACCTCTGTACCATGCGCTGATGCTGTTTTGGCAGGCATTCACTGTCAGTACTGACGACGCGAGTGCTCGCTCCATTTTTCCCGGTAGTGATGCAGGCCACGATGACGTGGCGAAGTCCACAGATGTGACACGCACGGTGCCAGGAAGAGTTCAGCGAAAACATGCTCTACATCCCTGTCGGTGCTGTCCTCTTGAACCTCCATCATACCGGTACATGTTGCATGTATTGTGTGAAGTTGGTGGGGTCGGTAGGAGGGTCCTGAGGTAAACCCCCCTCCGGAATCGATTGGTTCTGAGACACTTGAATCCCATGATTTCATTGGCCACTTGTATCGTTACAACTTTAAAAGTTGATGCGTAGGATATAGTTTTGAGGTGTATGATATTTTATTCAAGGAGCTGTACATCTTTTTTCTGATCTGCGCAAGTATTGTGGGACGGAGGGAGTAGTACCCCAAATGATGATCTGAGAAACAAGGTCCTTGACTCGGCTACTAGTAGTCTTCTACTACTATTAACAGTATTAATACTGTAGTACTACGTATTAATAGTGGTGAATGATGTGATGTCGTGCGTTGGGCAACTGCTCGTTCCGTGCGCTTACATTGCATATGACTCATACCAGTACTAGTATGTTCGAGATTAATTCCTCACATCAGGTATACCTTACCTTCAACACACCCAAACTATACCTTTAGTGGGGGAATTCCTTAGATAAGAACTCTGCACACATATACAAAAGAGCCGTGTAACCTGGGACTTCGTCCTATGCCCCAGTGGGCACGGATATTTCGAAGTGCAATGTTATTCCTGGGGTTAAGTGCACGGATATTCGAATTGTAATGTTATTCCCGGGGTTAATCGCAGCACAGCGGTTAGCTTTCGCTAACCACTGAGATGCCTTAACCCCTTGCTGGCATGCTTTGCTGGTGCCACTGTATCATTAGAAATCCCAACACTACACTTATTTGAGCAACAAATCCTCAGTTCAGGCATCCTGGCTGGCTGTTCCACGCTTACCTCAGAATTCCCCCATTAAAGGTATAGTTTGGGTGCTTTGAAGGTAGGGTATACCTGCTGTGGGGGAATTAGTCGTATGTTTGACATGTTCACATTATTATTAACTGTTACGTTTACACAGGCTTAACGCCCTGTTCTGTTAGAGAACATCCCCACTGTCCTGCCAGTCAAGTAGCAGTGTCTGCTAGCTGTGTAGGAGGTTTTTGTGTCATTGAGAGGCTTTTCCTCGGGTAGAAGTCAGTGCAGACATCTGGTCACGGGACATCATAGGATGTCAGTTTTGATTGGCTGTTTTCTTTGCAGTCAGAAGTAATTCACTTCCAGCGTTTCCTTTTGATGCCCACTAGTCTGCTCTTGACAACTGCCCTCATTACTAGTTATGAGCCTTCCAACCGCACCCGCTACCCTAACGCTCACACAGTGCCTCCTCAGTTCCGAGAACTACGATGAGTGGTTCTTCGAACTCACTTCCATCATCCTTGCCGGTGAGAATATCACCGAAATGGCGATTCACTGCGCGCAAGTTGAAACGGCAACGGCCATGAAGGGACTCCATCGATCTTACAAGGTACACCTCAACGATTGCAAGCGCATCCGGCAGTATCAAGCCGAAGCGGCAGCACTGCCTCCTGGCGCCTCCTGGCGCACCTGTACTCCCACCACTCACTGATCCACCGACGAGCAGATTGCGATGTCCATCAGAAACCGCGTCGACGATCTCATCAAGTTGGAGAAGACGGCCATCGCGAGCTCATATGAGCTGTCTACACCTCCTTGTTACCCACGATCCAGAGCAATGCCGCTGCCCGATTTGAGAAGAATGTGGCATTGCATCACTTCGACGGTTCGGTGGAAGTATTCCAGCGACGAACAAAAACTTGCTACTGCAATCTTCGTCTACCTAGGCATAAACACGTTCAAGTCAAGCCTCAAGTGTGAACCTCCAAGTCTTTGACAAGATAAGAACGGCTGTGGAGAAGCTTGAAGATTGACCCCTCAGAAACAGTCATTTAGCCTCGATCCTTCAAGCGCTACCGGGGTGCATCGATCCAGACCTGTTCGTATGGCACGGCGTTCAGCCGGGCATCCCATACTCGAATATGCGCGAGTTGCTTGAGCAACACACTGGCCGGGCTTGGTCACCAAGTACCCGCACTACCTCGGCTCGGCGCCGATCGCCACAGCTACACCAGTGTATGGCTCCACTGCCGCTACCGCGGTCTAGCGCATTGGCGCTTCTGGCATTTCGCGATGGCGCAAAGCAGCGAGATGGCTATGCAGAAGAGGCTGATGTACCCTGGGGGACACAAGGCCACGATCCGTGTCGGATTGGTGTGGCTACTGCCTGACCTCAGGCAGCCACTCGACGTACACCTGCACGAAGCTTTCCGGTGCGTGCCACCAGAATGCGGAGCTTCAACACTTTGTGTTCCCGTCAGTATGGGCTGCCATCCCACCTGGCGAATTAACACCAAGTGGTGACGGTCGACGCACTCAAGGCGGTCCAAGCGGTCACTGTGGTGGCAAACGCCACGGCAAAGGTTGCGGGTGTGGTGGAGGAGCTGGAGCATCCTTCCTCAACATCATTCGCCAAGATTACGCATCCAGCGGCCCACCCGGTCACGCATCAAGCCGTCAACCAGGCTACGCTCCCAGTGATCGTCCTGGCTACGCAAGAGTGGGTCAAGGCGGCCATTCCGCCTACGCCAGTTCGAACTACAGCGGTTGTCGCGACGATCAACGAGGTCCTAGCCCGTATCGTCAGTTGGCCTCCCGCTGTCAGAGTCTCTCAGGCGACCAGTACCGCGACTACCGCGAAGACCGCGGGTATCATCGCGAATTCTGCGGCTATTACCGCGACGACCGCAGCCGCAGCGTGCCGCCAGCGAACCAAGGATATGCCCCACCAGGACCAATCGCCCAGCGCTCCAAATGAACAACGCTAAGGAGTACGTCAAACTCGTACGTCAAACTCGGGGCCCGTCTTCAAAGCGAATACGGCACCCGCCTGACATGCACAAATGCCAATTCCCCGACCCAGAACCTGTTGCGGAGGGGCGTAAGGGCATCATGGTCACTATGGCCCGCTCCTTGGTACTGCATACTCCGGAGTAGCAATTTACCACAGTTTCTTGTGGGGCGAAACCATTTCCCACGCAGTGTTCCGCGTGAACATACTGCCGTCCACTACCTTCAGTGGGGACATCTGGACACACATTTCGTGCTTATGAGCCGCGATGTGACGTTCGTTGAATCAGTTTCCACCCCTGAAATCAGTCGAGGACATGAAACGTCTTCAAGAGCATCAACAGCGGAACGTTATCACCGGAACCAAAGCCCACCACCACTCCAACCAAATCTGCCTTCACCCCTTGGGGAGGTTGCGTCGTCCACGATACCAACACCTATACCCTCGTTTGGGGAGGTTGCGTCGTCCACGATACCAAAACCTCTACCCTCGTTTGGGGAGGCTTTCTCACGGACGACACCTCTACCCATATTTTGCGAGGCTGTGACATTAGCGTCATCTACACTTGGGGAGGCTGGTACGACCACACCACTACCCATAATTGGGGAGGCTCTACTTCGTGGATCAACAGGTACAGTATGGCAAATCCCTGTCGTACTTGAAATACCAGACATCACTCCACCTGCCCGTTTGGGTGGCACTATTCACCACCCCTCACCAGTCGTCCACAACTCCGACGCCCAAGTGTCGTCGAACGTTGACCTTCAACACAACGGAGGATATTTCCCCGTACCATATACCTCGTTCCACGAGAAGTACAGACTGCCGTACTCCGGGATGTGTGAGTACGACATCCATCTCCACTTAACGTCGTCACATATGACAACCCAGTTGCTCGCAATTCCGCCTCAGCCCTCACGGTCTCGAGCAGCGGCGAAAGCACATGTCGTACGTCGTCTCATCGACGTCTACCACACTGGACACTGCGGACACGTCCACGCGACGGTCCAGCTCAGTTGCTTATGCCTAATATTGAGGACGCCTCAGGTGCTCAATCTCTCTCGACACCGAAACACATTCTCCTCGCCCTCAAGGACACGACTCCTTCAGAGGAGCCCTACAAACAGGCGATGAAATCGCCAGCCAAAGCGTAGTGGCTTGAAGCCATGATGCTCGAGCTGGCAGCCCATGAGGCGAACGGGTCATTCGACACCAGCCACCTTGCCTCCAGATGCGGCACCACTGGGATTGCGTTGGGTGTTCAAAATCAAATACGACGACTCGGCACAGAGGCTACGAGGCGCGTCGCTCGCTACAAAGCGCGACTTGTGATCCAAGGACACACCCAAATTCAAGGCGTTGACTACGAGGAGAGCTACTCCCCGGTCATTGCCAAATAAATACTTTGAACGATGCTCACTCTCGGCGCGTCTCTCGACTACGCGATCGACGCAATGGATGTTATCACAGCCTTTCTCAGCGGAGAGATCGACTGCGAGGTCTACGTCAAATATTCACCTGGATTTGACACCACGAAGAATCGCCGCGATGTCTTTCGGGTCCTCCGCAGTGTTAATGGTCTCAAGCAAGCCTCACGCTTGTAGTACCAGACACTAGCTACCTACTTGCACCAGCAAGGGTACATACAGCTCGTTACAGACCGCTGTGTCTTCACCAAGCAGATGGACGGCCAAGCCGTTTACATCGGCGTCAACGTTGACGATCTGGTCATCGTGGCTCCTTCACCGGACATGATGCGCACCATGAAACATGGCCTATCGTCACGTTTTGAATGCATGACCTTGGGGCTCTCACTTTTATTCTCGGATTTCACATTGTTCGATATCGTTCTGCACGACCTCTCACAATACACCAATGCCAATATGCAACCTCGATCCTCAAGAGGTTTAGCATGGAGAATTAAGAACCATCCCCTATTCCAATGGAGTGCAATCTCAAGCTATCTGAGTCGTTGTATCATCAGAACGATGCTGAACGCCAGTCCATGGTGGACAAGCCGTACCATTTGGTAGTCGGCAGCATCTTGTACCTCATTATTTGCACTCGACCCGCCCTCGCGTGCGTCGTACAATAACTGAGCCAGTTCTTCACGAACCCCGTCCCTGCCCACTGGCAAGCGGTCAAGCGCTCTCTCCGGTATATCAGAAGATCGATAGACTACGGTCTCGTCCTTGGCGGTGCTTACGATCACTCACTCCACTTCGTAAGTATGCGGACAGTGAGTATACTAACGGTGTTGATACTCAACGCTGCTTCGCGGGCTTCGTGGCATTACCGGGAACTCTGCAATGTTCTCTGCAGTCAACAAAGAGTGATGCTGCTGCCGCGCGACATCACCCTTCGGTTCGAGCCAGGGAGCACGAATTCCGGCCTCTTGGCCATGACTGCACCGACATATAAGAGCGATACCCAGGACAATGTTGGTTCGACATAGAAGGCAGACGGCATCCCGGTGCTTACTCGATACATCTGGCCCTTCCACGGCGTGTCGTATGGTGCGTAGTTCGGAAAGGGCCAATTGGCAGGGACCCGATGAAAGGGATGTCTGACGAGTTGAGTCCCGGACAAAAAACGGTGTAACCAGTGGTGGTTACGCAGGCAGTCAGAACACCCTGTTCTGTTAGAGAACATCCACTGCCCTGTCAGTCAGGTAGCAGCGTCTGCTAGCTGTGTAGGAGGTTTTTGTGCCTTTTAGAGGCTTTTCCTCGGGTAGAACTCAGCGCAGATATCTGTTCACAAAATATCATAGGATGTTGTGGCAAATCATAGTCAGTTTTGATTGGCTGTTTTCTTTGCAGTCAGGAGTAATTCACTTTTAGTTGTACTCCTGGAGTAAGTGAGATCTGTCGAAAATAAATTATTGCTGTAAATATTCGAGAGAGCTCTAATTCACCCAAAATATAATATTTTAGAGGAACAATTACGGCTAGCTTAATAGTAAATTACAATTATTTTTCCCCCAGCCCTGCATACTGATACTGTATGTATGTGCATATACGTACTTCGAAGTATATATTATACACATATATATACTGTATGTGACACACTGAAATAATTATACGTACTATTAATATTATAACGTTACTGTAGGTTCCTGTTCAGTTCATGGTTAATTGACTGTGAGTTTTTGGATGATCATTATTAACAGTCACATTCTGCTTGACCAGGGATGTGCAATCTTTTGTTTTTACTTCGCTCAACGCTTTCATACCTCGTGCTTCGACGATCTTCTTCGAAGTTCGGTCCTCGTCTTCCTTGTAATCCGGACTCCCCAGGGGAGGGCGGATAATTCATTGCAGAAATAATCCGGGGAATCTGGGGATCAAACCGACGACCTTTGAGTTGATGTGCTCTACCACTGAGCTATTTTCCCTTCCCCAGTTCAGTTCATGGTGGCTTTACATCACATTGGTAACATGACTGAAGCGACAGTTGGAGTTGTCGATAAATGCATCTTGATTTGATACCGCTACAGTAAGTTAGTATGGATGGATGGGTGGTTGAAGGAGGCAAGTTCAAAATCTGCAGTGAAATCGCTTCTGGTGGGAACCGTTTCACATTTTTGGAAGACGAGCTAACGGTAAATACATCCACGCACAGGAGCTTGACACCACGAATAGGTGCTTGACATACCGGTATAGATTTGTGAATATTAACGTAAAAAAACAGTAGATGGCTCGAAAATCGACTCCTTGGCTTTTTTACGCTTTCTCAACAAATAAGGCGATTTGGACGAACTTTCAACTATGCTGTTATAGAGGATTGAACGTGCTACATCATACTTCGAAGTACAAGCAAGCTTTGAAGGATTCGATGAATGCTTCACCAAGTTATTGCTGGTCTAAGTCAAAAATGTGAATTTTGAGAAGATCAGTTCATGGCCCTAATTTACAGTTAACTGTAAATACACTAACGTTACACATCGAAACAGTGGAACTGGCAATACTACTGTCAATATGAAACGTATTCACTAGTGTAAATACGTTTGGTCACGAAAAGTGTTTTGGGCTATTCTCAGATACGTATCTTGCAATCTACTGTTTTTTTAAGTTAGAGCTTTTATTCCCAATAGTTTTGTCCTCCTAATCCGTATAAGTACGATTCATACATACACGGGCTGTGTAGTGTGTATCCACCCACAAGATTGCGCGCATCGTAAGCGTAGCGAAGGCCTTGTGTATCATTTTATGGTGCCTTGACAAGGAGAAGGCCCCAACCGTACGAATGTCCCATCGATTCCTTTAGTACGAGGCCTTTTCTACGACGAAAACCTTTTACTTGGGATTTGTATCGATCATCAATATTTATGGGTATATTGCTTAAGTACGTGTGAATATTCCATAACTGTAGTGTGGTTTCCACATGCATATTTTTGTTGGTTTCTGATTGTACCCGTCCAAGATACATGATTTCACCAAGGGTCGGTCAGTTTTGCATTTGTTTCCCAGATACATCTATACCCTATGCGTCTCTTCGCCACCGCCGCCGCAGCCGTCCTCGGAATCTTCGTTGGCACTTCTGTTGATGCCATCGCCCCCATTGAGATCAAAGGCAATCGCTTGTTTGAGTACGGCACCGGCAAACCGTTCCATGCCAAAGGACTTGACTACTACCCTCGACCCAACTCGGGCGAATTGAACGTTAACAACTTGGACTTCTTCACAGACGACCACGAGTCCATCTGGAAGCCCCATGTTGCAGAATTCATTGCACTCGGTATCAACGCCGTTCGGTTGTATGCTGTGGACGCATCCAAGAGCCACGACAAATTCATGTGCGCCTTGTCCGAAGCCGGTATCTACGTCTTGGTGGATTTGGCTTCCAGTTGTCAAGATTGTGCGATTACAAAGGACCCGTACCCGGCTTGCTACCCGGCCCTTCTTAAGACCCGCGGCCAACAGATCATCGCGGCGTTCTCCAAGTACAACAATGTGCTGGTGGGTACTACATCCGATCGTCGCATTGCCTGCAGCATGTATGTGTATTCATATTGTTCCCCGTAGGCCTTCAGCGCAGGCAACGAAGTGAACCACTTCGTAGACTCTATGGAAATCAGCGCGCCATGCCAGAAGAAGTTCATCAAGGACATGCGCGCGTACATTAGCTCATGTGCAACCAACATGCGCTACATTCCCGTCGGAGTCGTCCTCGCCGACCACCAGCGCTCAGAAAACGCACTCTACTACGCGTGCCGCACCGACCCCACCGACGAATTGGAAAATGCCGAATGTAGGTTCACGGACTGCCTACATCTCACCTGAAACCGATTTTGTTAGGGTACGGATTGAACGCGTACTTGCAATGCGACCCATTAGCATCGCTGAACCCGGGGCAAGTCGGCGCGGGGTACCGCAAACTCTTGGATGACTTCACATCGTACGAGTTGGCAATTCCCACGATCCTCACTGAGTTTGGCTGCCTCAACGTCGGCTTCCCCACTGTCGACGGCTTCCAGGCGCAACGAACGTGGGTGGATGCGGCGTGGCTTCTCTCGCCAACGTTTGCCGACGTTTTTGCCGGTGGCTTTGCGTTTGAGTTCACGACCGAAAACGCTAACGCCGAAAAGGACTCCCCGTTCCCGTTCAAGACATTCGGCCCACAGAACTACGGCCTCGGGTACCTTGAGCCGGAGACGTGCGACGCCGACAAAACGCCGTGCGTGTTTCAACGCATGCCCAACTTTGACTCCCTCGCCGCGGCGTACGGAAACGCGTCCACAGCCGGCCTCCCTGAGCGATCTTCATACTCTCCCTCGCACACGACGCCGCCCCAGTGTCCCGCCGGAGTTCCATCGATCGTTGGAGTGCTCTGGCCAGCGGATTCCGAAACCGACATGCTGTGCCCAGACCTGACGCAGACACCGCTGTGTCCGGGGGATATCATCAACACTGGCAAGTCCAGCCCGCCCAAGCCATCGGTGAAGACGGTGTCCCCCGTCAAAGGGATGCCCACCGTACCTCCATCGGCACCCTCCCCGCCCAGTCCAGGCAGCACCCAAGGCAACCCTGCCACAGTGGCCGGTACAGGCGTTGTAGGGGTTGTGGTCATGGCGACAGTCGCGTGGTCGATGGTGCTGGTGTAAAATTACCCTCCATGTGCGTGCTAGCGATGATACTCCCAGATTTACACTAGTAGGTACGGAATCTAAGCAAGACCTGGAGTGTATTTTATGGACTACTGTAACTATGAATACCAGTTACTGCGTACCTACTACTATTACCTCTGTTTGCCAACAAATGCTGGCGAACATTCAGGCCCATACAAAAACTAAGTGTAACGAATCTGTCACTAATTAAGAAGTTTCGGTCCGTTGCCCGTTGCCGCCGCTGGTGGGGAGTTTGATGCACCAGTACAGTACCAATGGACACGTCAGCATCTGCGTACACTAAGACTAATCTTATAGTATGCAGACTAGCTTCGTCATATGATGCCTCAGGTGTCCTGTGCACGAACTCGCCACTCGTATGGGTAGGCATGGGTACTGTAGGTCGTGACAAGTAGTTACAGTATTGCTCGAAAATTGTACTACGTAGTACTGTAATGCGCACCTACTCAACCGACCTGTGTCACCAATTACCATGTAAGTTAACTGGAAATCAATGATTAATTACAATCTGCGAAGTGGAACGATAAATATTGTCGATTTGGTTCACATGGTGCAATCGAAGCGCAAACCGATCCACAATCGATCTGATTGGTTGTATTTCATTGAGAAGGTTTTGATTGGCTATTAATTTGAGCTCATCTGAGGTAGCCAATCAAATCGATTTAATTTCCAACGAGAAACCACGCCACAACACAAAATTTCACTCGAAAGCACAATAATTGAACACAATAAATGGCAATATTTTGTTGACAGTAATATTGTCCTTTACCCAATATCTGGGCTGATTCTTTGCCAAATCCGTCGATCGAGATCCTTTTGTCCTGAGTTATACATGTAAAGATGGTCGAGCCTCACACTAATTAAAGTCACACACTAATTCAATGTTGAAATGGTCCGTGGATTTGATTGGTCGTATATCGATTTGGTGATTCTGCTTCGAATTTCGAATCGACTTGCCAATCAAGCAAGATATTGCTGCCCTCAAGAGTCATCAAGCGATATAGTTGTCAGTGGATAGACGAGCTAATCAAATTTGTAGCTAAAAGTCGTCCGAGCTGTCGAGGTTGAGCACAACTTTGCCCATGCCAGGCTTGAACGCAGGCTGGCCGAGAAAGGGGCACCCGCCACAGCGGAACGCATCGCCTTTGTAGCACTACATCGTCATGCATACATAGCATCGTTATATCCACGGTAAGAATTCCATCTGTATGATGCAACACTTACATTGCCGCAGCTGGACACCATTTGTTTCAATTCGGCTTCGGACACGATAGGCTGATCATCTTCATCTTTACGCCTGAGCATGGAAATATGGAAAAGTTCGCAATCGAGGGACGATTGAGATACCACGTACCCGCATGTACAGTCCTTGCACCGGCGCTTCTTCTTCCCATCCTTGCCGGGACCACAGTCGTCGTTGCGAGACAAGATGTCGTCGGCGTCGTCCAGTAGGTCGTCTTCATCGACAATGTCCTCTTCATCATCTTCGTCTGCAACGACTGTCCATCTACAAGAAAGGGAAGGGCATGACGACATGCATGGGATTCATTTGATGGTCGATATCATCCACGTACTTGGGTTTCTGCACGGGGGTGAACTTGACCGCAACGCTGGCGCCTTCGACAAAGCCCGACTTTTGAGCACGTGCATGGATACCATTTCCGTCAATGTCCACGTTCGAGTTCAAGAACCCCTGCAAGATGAGCTGCATCAACACTGCGTTCTTGTTGGATTCGTTCCCCTCGACGGCAAGGAATGCTTCCAACACCCCGCTCGGCTGTAACACGCGATGCAGGGTAGCGAAATGTGCCAGGCCGCCAAAGAACACCAGCTTTCCCGCGACACTACCTCCTTCCTTCTTCTCTGCCTCGCTGATGTCGACTACCACGGCATTCAGTGGCTGGGTGGCCGCGTATGCGTCGGCAACGGCGCGATGGACGCTTTCTGCTACGATGAACATTGTGGAATGCTGCAGGCCAAGCACCGCCGAATTGAAATCGAGGACGATGCATTTAATACAATAATCAATTGATCATACAATTATCGAGATCAAGGGTCAGTAATTTATTGAATGATGACCCCATGTGATGCTTTTCCAAATCCTTCTGGAGGGTTCGAATGATGAGTTCAACCGTCATACTTGACATACATGGACGACTTCAATTCGATCGTCGTCCATCCTTCCAGAGCATGACGTAGCATACATTTCATTTCGTAGTTACTGAAGCACTTTGATCTGGATGTGATGGGACTTGAGCTTCGCAGGGGCTGCGCGGGACACCTTCGGGCATCCGATGACGTTGAGGACCTTGAGTGAGATGCAGACGTATTGGCCTGCGAAATGGTGTGTGGCGTCGCTCGACATGAGGCGAGGCATGAACTTGTTGGGCTTGGCTTCGCACCACAGGGCCACGGCCTTGGGGCGGGTCGCGAAGTGCAGTACGAGCTCGTCGTTCGTGTCCGTGACCCGTCGAAACGTGACTTTGCTGCAGTCAAACTTACGCAATTGGGTTTTCATGTGGTGCAGGTCAAACTGCCATGACATGAGGATCAAGACCCATGACAACGACGCTGGCTACCTCGGTGGGCACTGGCGACGGGTCCTTGAGGCGTCGCAGCTGCAGCACCACTCGGCTAGACGGCAACAACGACACTATTCCGGCGTCTGTGACCAGTGGACACCCGCTCAAGTGTAGGTTGTCTAGGTACAGGAGGTCGGTTCCGATGCGCTCGAGGCTGGCGTCTGTGATCTTGGCACACGCGCCAAAGTTGAGGAAGGTTAAGTATGGACAGGTCGACGCCAGTGCCATCATGCCTGCGTCGTCGTTATGGAGCGTTGTAAAAAGTGATATGCGAAACTTCACGATTTTGTCCAGTTTGAGTTACAAAAGAACCACAGACCTGTATCTGTGAGCTGATGGCACCCCCACACGACACATTGGGTCAGTTGAGGGCAAGTCGTCGCGAGGCGTGTTAGTTCAGTGTCAGTGATAAACTCGTGGCAAAACGATAGGTCCAGACATCGAATGGCGGAGCTGTGCAGGTCTATCAAAGCGACGAGGTTGGCTGGATGACGTGTTGTTACTCTGAGGCTGGTTACCAACAAGGCGTTCAAATGCAGATTGGGTAACCGCTGAAGGTGGCTGCAGAACGAGCCATCGATAGAAGTGAGGGTTTCTTCGGGTCAATTTGAGGTATTTCACACATGTGGCCCCGAGAACGGCGGCCAGCTGCATCGGAGACCTCGCTTCGCCCAGGTTATGCTAGCATATTACGAATCAATCCACATGGATAGATAATGAAAGGAATTCGACCAACTTGGAAGCCAAGGTAAGACACGACTCGAGAAAGTATGGGCTCGGTGGACATGACGCCATTGAACATGATTTCTTTGCGGCATAGCAGGTCCAGCAGCGTCGGCGGCGTTGGTGGTGGTGGCATTCTCTGTGTTCAATTAATTTCTATTTATAGAATCCCTCGATACAAGAACTTCGTAGTGCTTATGCGAAGTGTACGCGTTGATTGGTCGTCAAACTTGCAAAACTGCAAATTATCATGGAGGGCTTTTCGCTCAACATTGCGACGCCATCAGCGCCGCGCGTGGTCAAGAGGAAGAAGGTCAGCAAGTTTCGCCAGAACAAGAAGAAGGCGACTGCACAGCGCAAAGCTCCACATGCTTCTGGAACGGCAGGACCTGCATCTCCGGTTTCAGGCATTGTCCGTCCAAAGCCCTCGCCTTCTACTAAGCTTGACGTCGTGGCCCCTCGTCAGAACGACGAGCCTTCCAAGAACGACGAGTCTGCACCTGAACCCGAGCAGGATGAGTCAGCCGACGAGTCTGAAGACGACGACATACCGGCGTCGGCTGCTCCGGTGGCGACCAAGGTGTATTCGTTCGACCACTTGACAAAGAACGTAGCAGCCGCCGACACATATGCGATCAAGGCATCTGGTGGCAGTCTCACGACGGACAAAGGCACTCGCCGCAACCCGAACAAGGACGCGTACTCTGCCGACTCGTACAACCGTTCGGCGCTCGACATGTCGACTATGGTCGTGCACAACGCGCCGCTCGCGTCAAAGGAATCCACTGACATCTTCGCCAAGACGACGTCGTTTGGTGCCATGAAGCTGCATCCCCACATGGTTGCCATCTTGGCCAAAGCATCCGACGCTGGCGGGTTCGGCTTCAACCAACCCACGCGGGTGCAGGTGGCCAGCGTCCCGGCCATCTTGGCGGGCGGTGACGTCATGCTCAAGAGCGAGACTGGGTCAGGCAAGACGCTGTCGTACTGCCTACCCATTGTCCACTCGCTCATGTCCCGAAAGGTCAGAGTGAACCGAAGCGAAGGGTGCTTGGCCATGATCTTGGCGCCGACACGCGAGCTTTGTGTGCAAATCCACGAAACCCTCGAACGGTACGGGTTGGCTATATTCTTGATTTTCATTTATTCTTCGACATTTCATTTATATTGTGTCTTTTATTATATATTTCATTGTGTGTACCCGCGGAATCATTGGATGGTGTTGGGTAGATTGCTCAAAGTGGCCGTGTACATTGTGGCGGGGAGTGTCGTGGGCGGCGAAAAGAAAAAGGCCGAAAAGGCCCGTCTGCGCAAAGGTAGGGTGTGGTTTCATTTATCAAGCCCCGAATATTTCATTTATACATGCAATTCGTTCCTCCAGGCGTGTCGATCTTGGTGGCGACTCCAGGCCGTTTGGTGGACCATCTCACCAACACCCATGCGTTTACGTACAACCGTCTGCAGTTCCTTGTGCTCGACGAAGCCGACCGGCTGCTGGACCTGGGCTTTGAGAAGAGCATTGCGCAGATCCTCGAGTATGTGGTCGCCAAGATCGACGACGACGTGACTCGGCAGAGCATCCTCGTGTCGGCGACCATCAACGCCGGCGTCCAGCGGCTCGCGGCGCTTAGTCTGACCTCCCCCAAGTTTATCGACGCCGACGCCTCCAAGTACGTCACCGAGCGCATTGAAACGTCCGATATTGGAATTCGTCGTCATATTGTGGATTATTCGGTAAAAATTTCCAGACCCCGTCAAATCGAATGTATCTCGCCGCCGAATCATGAATCGACGCTATTGGCTAATCCATTTTTGAGTGGATTTGATTGGCTCTTACAGAAAGGATAAGTATAGTCAGCCAATCAGAACTTCAGTGTGATTCAATATTGATTATATAACCACGCGAATTTCGGAAATTTATAGCGAATTCACAATATATGAATGATAGATACTATTAAAGGATGCAACGATTAAAATGAAAAACGAATTCCTCCACCAGGGGTCGAACCCGTGACCTGTCGCGGTAAACCCCCGTCCGTATACTCAACGTTTTTGTGTTGGCATGATGGATGAATAGAAATATCAGGATATTTCAAACCATCGATATGTATTATATATGTATGTGCAGAGCAAACAACCAGTCGAATTCTATATATATATATAGAGAGAGAGCAATACCATGTATGACTGATGTCTGCTTGTGCGTAGGGGCCCCGAGACAACGTATGCGACGCCGGACCAACTGGTGCAGCACTTTATGGTTGTGCCCGCCAAGCAGCGCCTGTGCGCGCTGAGTGCGTTCGTGCGCGGCGAGTGCCGGCGCAACAAGCTCCGGTCCAAGATCGTCGTATTCCTGTCTACCTGCGACGCCGTGGACTTTGTTTCGAATTTGTTTCAAAAGTGCCAGTGGCCCCAGGCGCCATCCATGTTTGGGCCGGCGGTTTTTCGCTTGCATGGAAATGTCAACCAGCAGGACCGTACAGCCACGTTCCAGGCGTTCTGCAAAGCTCAGTCCGGCGTGCTCTTTTGTACGGACGTGGCAGCCCGTGGCCTCAACTTGCCCACGGTACCCTAAAAATACAAAATGACGATGATATTAGAGTTGACGTATTTGTGGTGGTGATGGTGTAGGTCCAGTGGATTGTGCAGTATGATCCGCCCACGGAGACCAGGGATTATGTCCACCGCGTCGGCCGCACGGCGCGAAGTGGAGCGGTACGTGACATATCCATTGGAGACTGTGACAACTATTACGAATCACAGCTATGAACCTTGCTAGAAATGAGTTTTTTTTATATTGTTTTTTATTTTTATTTTTTTTGCGGTTGAATAGCTACATTGCAGCGACATTTCTAATGCAATTTAGGGTGAGTCTGGAACTTTATATTTTTTTGGCAATCAACGAGATATTTGGCAACATATTGAATTCTCCAAATTTTGGATCCAGACAGATAAGTTTTCATTTATTGCCGATTTCTTAGAAATTGCCAAAATATGGAAGATATTTGGGCTTATTTTTGACAGGTTCAAGGAACTTTTTTTCTGAAAGTTGGCAATAACTGAGAATCGTAGATTTTCTTTCGAAATCAGTTTAATCCAGGCAGTTAAAATAGATAGTCACGACCAAATTCTTTGAATTACTTTGAACCAAAAATATTAATTGTCAAAAGTTGGGGTGTGACTCCCTTAGACAACTATTATTAGGATAATACGCTCGTGTGTGGACCAAGACGACGTGATTGATATTGTTGTTCTTGTTGTGGGATTGCTAAAATTGAAAAAATGATGTTGTGTTGTTTTAGAGTTAAGTTTTGTATATAGGTGGGCAATTCACTGCTGTTTTTGCTGCCGTCGGAATCCGCCTACTGCGACCACTTGAAGACCCACGGGCTTAACTTGACGGCCCTGAGCTTGGAAGCGACTCTAGCTCGCAGTGCGTACAAGGGCGAGTTTAAACCGTCCAGCAAGAAGGAGGTGCACGAGGTACATGATCACATATATAGTATATATCAATATGACCACTTACTTGTGAAATATATGTCTAGGTTGTGGTGCACGAGTTGCAGTATCTGTTCGAGCAAACCGTACTGGCTAATACGGAGCTGTTCGACATGGCATGCCAGGCGTTTCAGTCGTTTGTGCGCAGTTACGCTACCCATTCGACGTAAGAAGACAGAGTCTATATATGGAGATATTGTGCATATATATATTCACCCAAATATTGGACTTGCGAGTCATTTCACCAAATACCATTCGAATCCATTGGATCCTATTTAATCTTGTACACACTATCCAATACAATAATGAGTACATAAATGGTTTTGCCCAATGCGGAGGGGTCAAACGTTTGGATTTGCAGAAATTTGGCATGACGTGATTTGATTGGCTCAGACGGTTCTTTCATCGATTCTCCTAACACATTCGATTCTCCCGAGGGCTCCAGTTTTTCGAATCGATTTGACAATATATGGAGGTGTGGCATTGCTAGTGGTGTCATGCAGTGTGTTTTGATGTGTATGTAGCGACACGAGGCAGTACTTTCACGTCCGCAGCCTCCATTTTGGCCACGTGGCCAAGAGCTTTGCCCTGCGCGAGCCGCCAGCGTCCAACAAAGTGACCAAGGGCAGCCAGCAGGCCAAGACGGGCACGCTCAAGAAACGCAAGGCGCTTCAGGATATTGATGACTCGATCGAAAAGTCCAAGCAGAAAAAGGCCGGCCAGGCCAAACGCAAGTACAACAACCACGTGTCCGAGTTTGCAGAGTAATATACAATGCCAGTTAGTTACCGTACGATTTTATCATGATGTATCTGGACGAGCACATACTTGCCACCAGCGCATGAGTTCTGTACATCGTCGCTAGATGAATTCAACTTGACAGTGGTCGACAGCTTCGAGGTGGCCATTGGCGATAATTATTGCTACATAAACGTGAGCGATAAACAGTTAATATGAAAATTGTAGCGCATAGCCAAACCTACCGACATGGGAATAGGTCAACGTTATATCGTTACTATTAATAGAAGCTACTACGTAGTATATTTGATTTTTCGCCAAAATTCTGTCTTTAATGTGCTGCTTCGTGACTCAGCGATCACCGATCAACGCAAGAACATGGTAGCGTGTACAACAACATCGATACTATGTAAAGAAGTGTCATGGACGGTGTTACGATGATTTTTGCAGGATATAAGAAGAGGTTACAATTTGAACTTTGAATTTTGTAGAGCTTTGTGTGATGCTACTCCAGAGAATTGTGCACTGATAAGTGCACTCCGACTATGTCCAATGTGGTTCTCCCCTTACAGCTAACATTATGTTGTGCGCTCGGGTGGGTCGCGATGCCGTGGTGGCTCTGGTGGGCCAACGCGGTGGCGCAACCACGTGATCACACCGGCAGGAAGGTGTATGGCA